GCACACACGTACACACGGCAGAAGCAGGCCACACACAGCGACAGCGACATGCACGCAACACAGCCACACACACACAACACACGATGGCGAGCGCAGCGAGAGACGATTGCGCAGGCGACGAGCGACGCGCACCACACACACATAACGTATATAGTCTCAATTATAGATAGTAGGTATATATATTACTTATATACAGTACAACATACACACACAGGCACACACACACCACATTACACACAGCCACACACACGCAGCAACGCACGCTACGCAAAGCACACACAAACGCCATCACAAACAGCACAGGCACGGAGCACACGGCACGCACGCCGACGCGACGCACGGGGGGATCGCCGCGACGCTAGCGCACACAACACAGGGGGCGCACGCACGCACACACACAGCGACACGAGGTTAGTATGATATAGTATGGATATATAGTAGTAGTACGGAGTAGGGGTATATAGGTTATATATATACACACACATGAATAACTGGTAATGATACACCACCGTTATTATATTCGAGTGAACAGTGTGAGGCAGCGGTCGGTGATTCAGTACGGCGGGCTGCACTACAACAGGCACTCGCCCCCATTCTTACATAATAACTTAATGATAGCAAATATTTAACACAAAGTTTGGTAACTTTAGATAGCCCGAAACTTTCAAAGTTGATGTTTAAACTCTCTCTATCGGTAATGGTCGCGTAAAAATGCGGTTTAAATGCCGTCAGGCGAATTCTGGTATCGCAGACGGCGACGCGTATGAGTGCCACAGAGACAATAGCATTATGTATCACACACACGGCACGCGGACACGACCGCGGGCGCGCGGCGCGCACGCACACCACACACACAGCACATAGACACACACGCGGGCGAACACAGCACACCGCGTTCGGTGCACAAACTCGACGCGCACACATACGGCAGCACACACGGCGTACACAAAACGGCTCGCGGCCACACGCGCACACACGGCACGCACAAACACCGTGCACACAGAAAACACGGCGCACAAATACGGCACGCACACACGCTCACGCACGCGCACGCACACACAGACACACACACACTCGCGCCTGCGCCGCACCACGCCCACACATACATACATATTTGTGGCGGTTGGCACCGGTCACCACGGCTTCCCAGCTAGGTAATTGTGAGGGTAGCTCACTGGCGAACCACGGGCTGGTTATATGGGTTAATGTTCCGTATTGTGATTGTATAATTATTTGCTGACGCGTCCGGTGGTCTGATTAGGGTGCTCTGCGGGTTTTGCGTGGGGAGCTGTTTGCGCTGCTCACCGAATTCGTTGTTGTGGATAGTTCCGAGTGGGGGCGCTACATGGGGGCAGCCATGTTGGCTGGTTGGGGTTAGGCCACGCCGCCCTCGTGGAGTGGCGGGAGAGGTAGGAGGCGGGCCGGCGGGGGGACGGAGAGAAGTGAAACAGTGGAGGCGCGGGGTGGGTGGCGGGGTGGGGGGGTGGGGGGGGGGGGGGGGGTGTGGGGGGGGTGGGGGGTGGGGTGGGGGGGGGGTGGGGGGGTTTTGGGGTGGGGGGGGGGGGGGGAGGGGGGGGGGGTGGGGGGGGGGGTGTGGAGGGGAGTCTCGGGTGGGGGGGGTGAGGGTGAGCACGTGGGGGTGGTGGGGGTGGTTTTGTCCCGGTGGGGCGAGGTGGGGTGGGGGGTGATGGGGTGGTAACAAGGTGGGAGGTTTGGGGGGTGTGGGCGCGTTTAGACGGAGGTAGCACTCGAGTTCGTACGTCTCGGCGTCTAGAGAGATAACACTTCGAGTTGCCTGGCCGGGTGGGGAGCGAGAGGGTATAGGCCCGCGCGGCGCAGCATGAGCTAGTTCCACTCTGTATTGAGCATTAAAGTGGAGGAGGGGCCGGCTGATTGTGTGCCAGAGACTGGAGAGTATGGTTGACGACAGCCTTTAGGCGCTACGATACTGGTACAGTAACATAACGGTTCACCAGTGTCAGCAGTGCCTGTTGGGCTGAGACCCCACAGAGGACGTCCGCTTCAAGGAATAAGAGAAATGGGCCACAGTTTTGAAGAGCTTACGGTTTTCAGGGTGGCGCTGAGTAGGCAAGTTTGTATTTTGTCCGGGTTGGGAGATGTTGTGGGGGGCTGTGGGGGGGGCGGAGTGAAAGTAATGACAGGAGTTAGCTATGAGTATTAAATGGACTCCTGAAATATACGTAGAGGGAGAGGCTACCGAGGGCGAGCTGGGCGGGACGCTTCACGTGCAGGAATTAGAAACTGGCCTCTATTGCTCATATGTTACACCACGCCCAAAGCAACCAGTTTGTAAAAGTTAGAACGACACCTGTCTGTAACGACACTCTTGGAAGCAGGGGTGACGCGGGAGTGGGGATGCTCCGCGTGCAGCTATAAGGCCGGTGCGATGGTAGAGCAGCCTGCGCGGTTGATTTTAGCCATTTTGTCTGGCTACGCCACTCATAATTCTTGTAGTAGCCTTTGTTTATACACCGGTCCGTTGACATTTGTTATAAGACCCGTCAACCGTAAGGAGCCACGTCATAGGTAGCGGCTAACGTAGATGACGGCCAGCTAGTTGGTGGAAATGCGATGCCGTAGTGTGACCCGTTTCCGTCTCACGCTTTCATGGGTTTACAGCGGGCCCGACCAAAATTTCTTAAGTAACAACGCTTGTGGCACTCATTGTTTGATCTATACCACTCGGCTTAATGTTCTTGCTGCTACAACCTCAGAGAAAGTGGAAAATGCAGCAACGGAGCACGAAGCGCTCGGTTAGATTGGTACTACGTACTGGATCATTAACTATGTTGCCATGTTCCCGCGCGTTGACTCCTTAGTAGTAGCACTGGTTCCTTTCTTCGGTATGCGTCGCTCTAGAGCTTCAAATTTCTGGCTTAGACTGAAATGTTATGTCTCCGCCTGTATAGGCTAGCGGCAAATACAGGCAGGCGATTGCACGGCGCCCAGTCAACGCATCCCGGACGATGACTAGCAGTGAGTGTTCTTACCTAAGGTAGTGCTAGTCACTACGTGTCGACTGTGGCGCCACCCACGTCCGGTTGGTGGCGCAGGAAGACACCATAAAAAACGCTTACAACTGGTGCGCGTGGGCTCTCGCCGGTTGCCGCCTTCAGAGCTTAGTAGTGCTGATTTGCGTTAGCGACGCTTGTGAGGAGGAGCGGGTACGATTGCCGTTTAAGGTGTGTTCGGCGGGAGGCGGCAGTCTAGCGCGTCCGGTAATTGCACTAGGACCTTGATTTTTATAGCGCCGGCGGTCGCAGGTACGGTCGGTGTACGGACACGAGGCGTGGGTGGCTGGAGTTTGACTCCACAGCAAAAGAGTTGATGAGCGACTCCCCCACCGGTCAACGATGAGCGGTCGCGACTACGTTGTGCACGGCTCGACAGGGACAGCAGCAGTGAGTTCTCGCATAATCGCCCGTCGTGTGGATGCGGCTAGAGTCAGCCCATGCGCCAG